CATGTCTAGATTTTAATTTTTTTTTTTTTTTTACAACAGCAAAGTGACAAATCACTGAGATCGAGTAAAGAGGCATTTTAATCACATTGAAAATTCAACGCAGCATAGTTAAATCCCACACTGGCTCAAAAATATATATGTCGGCACCAACGTCAGTATTGCAGCATCGCAAAAGCTACTTATTTCTTATTCTTGATTCGTTAATTAATAAAAATTAATTTATATTAAAATGAAATAAAATAAATCGTTGTTCATTTTCAATATTTTACATTGTAGGAGTATAAATTATTCCGGAGACTAGTTTGTCTCTCAGCTGGAAGCACAATGAAATGAATCAAATTACTTGAATCACAAGTTATGAAGTAGTCACTTGTTTCATTTGTAGCAGTCGTAGAAACGGGATTATAGGTTCTATTTTAGGAAAGAACACATCTGTTATAGAAGAATTAAGCTTGGACAAGCTAGTAAAATTGAGTTTCATATTTAAGTTTTTGGCAGTTAAACTGAGATTGCAAAGCCTTTTTATCACTGGGTACATTGTCGTATGTCAGTCCCGTTTCAATACTAAGTTTATGACTGCTAATTCTTAGTTTCACTGATTCTTTCCTCCAAGGGTTCGTTCTTGTTTGGTTTAGGTAAGCGAGGAGGCTATAATGCTTTTGGATTGTGTAATGAAAGTTACGTTTTTGTGAGTAATAAAGGATTTGGTTTATTCAGTGTGTTATGATGAAAGTCAGAGAAATTATTAATATAGTAGTTGGTCTTTTTCGTGAGACTGAAGTAAAACCAATTTTAATAGTTATAACTAAGGTCAATAGACTGTTTAACGTTTATTCCTCGCCAAGCGAGGCGCGAAGCGCCGAGCTAAGTGAGTTTACCATCTCTTCGCGCGAGAAGCGCGCGCGCAGTACGTAGACCGCGCGTGGATCCTAGTGAGCTGCAAAGTCGCAGTGCTTATCTTTACTTGAAAATATCCAGGGCGTTGAAACGCTCTCACCCGCTCTCTGGTTCAGCTGTGATGCGGAGTACGACTGGAACTAGTTCGCATTTCCACTCTCGATCCGCTGTCAGGGCAAGAAAAATGGCGCCGTCTAGCTGGAGGCAGGTTCGGATTTATTGCTTTATATCTTTACATCGCTGCAATCTATAATCAAATTTCATATCTGGTGTATTTCTATGCGATACACAGAAAGTATCTAGGTGATATTTTATGTTTATGCAGTGTCAAAATGGCCTATCGAGCATTAGAGGTTGAAGGTAGCGTTTTATCTTGCCAGGCAAAATCAAGTGATAATAAACGACTACAAAAAAAAATATGCCATGGTTTTATATATCATGTACATTTTTTGTTTGTGCATGCAAATTTTTAGAGTGAACTTTTATGAACCCTTAAGGTTTTTTAGCTTCTGAATTGACGACTTCATAATGGCGATAGCAAGGTTTTTTGTGTACGTAGGCGTTTAGCATGTTAGTAAGTTTCAACGCCCTAGCTCATATCCGATGGTGTCTGCCATGATGTCATACAGTAGTTTGACGTCGCGGCGCATTTTCTGTTTCTAAGCAACATTCGACTGAAAGCGATTTCCCATCAATGACCAAAGTAGTATTCATGAGGAGCTCATTTTGGTCTAAAAATAAGGGGGGACCAGGGCCCCTCCCCTGGATCCGCCACTGCAAGCAGCAATTTGAAGAAAGAAAGGTCAGTTTTTCGTCGGGTCTTCACATTTTTGCAGCTGGCTGTAGCTACCAAAACAATGCAACCCCGCAAACCCCAATGCAACGAGAACACCTCAAAGAGACGCAGCACGACGCGTTGCAAGGAGAATTTTCGATTATGCAGAGGACAATCGCAAGCCCCTAGAGAATGTGAAATAGTTCAACATTACACTGAAAGCTTAAATTAATGGATGCGATCACGTTACTCCCTTGTTAAAAGTCTTGCGCTGGCTCCCAGTCAAGCAACAAATATATTTTCGACTTGCTGTTTTAGTATTTAAGTGCATGACCGGATGTGCTCAGCGTAGTTAACATCTAAGCTCGTTAAAAGATCGGCCGTGGCGACAAGGATAATCAAGAACTCTGAAATGTTAATTGAAACATACCAATATTCCATACAGCTAGTGGCCAAAAGTCCGTTGGATATAGAGCGACGTTCGAGGATTTATACAAAAAATTGCACTGACCATTTTTTTAAGGACTTTTCAAGAACCAAACACGATTTTCAAGGATCATCTACCTTTCACAGGTTGTACAAAAATTCACATTTCCAGTCCATTTCAAGAGGACTTTAACGGACCCAACGCTTGAACTGTTTGCTCCACCAACTTTTCTACATTTTCCAGTTCGCTTGTCTTAAAGTTATACTTGCTCATTGCATAAAACAAAAAACGCTTAATATGAATCACATTTAACTTCTCAGAGCTATGATTTATGTTCTGTCTTGGACAACCAAAAAGCATTAAAATACACTTTCCAGGCGACTAAATTCAAAGCTGAGGAAAGTTCAAGAACTTTTCAAGGACTTGCACAGAAATTCACAAGGACTTTTCAAGGAAAAATAGAATTCAAGGACTTTTCAAGACTGTGCGAGCCGGGCGTCATTATGGAATGAGTTGCAGCCAGCACTCAAGCTAAGCGAATCAGTGACTGGTTTTAAGCGTAGACTTAGGCGACTACCACTGGATGTCTCCTTTAGTTAGTTTTTTTTTTTGTTTTTAGCCTTCTCTGTCTGTGTGTTTGTGTGTTTTTAATTATTCTTGTAACACTGACTCTGAGAAGCCCTTTGGGGACGAACCAATAAAGTGCGTGTATGTATTACGTCACCTATCACATGCTTGTAAAATTACTGGGGATTTACGTGATTATAGTCTTTTCTGATCACTTATGTAAAAACTTATGTAAGAGCCACAAATAACTAAAACAGATTATGATACAGCCCTTTATTTTGTACCGCTGAGTATCGGTAAGCAAAACGTCGTCCAACCAGGGAGATCCATTGGCAGGAGTAAATTGAGTGCTTGAGACGATTCCACCAACCTATCTAATTGATCGATTTCATTGCTTACGTCACCTATTACATGCATGTAGAATTACTGGGGATTCACGCGATTATAGTCATTCTGATCGCTTAGGTATATAAGAACTAAAAATAACTAAAACAGATAAATAATTAACAATTATTCTTTGAAATCGAGGTGAATAGTGGCTAAATATTTACCGAGCCGCGAAAACGGCGAGGTAAATATTCCCAAAGCCACTATTCACCGAGATTGAAAAGAATAATTGTTTTAGTATATACGCACGAAGTGATCTCAACAAAATCAGAGAGGAAACTATTAAAAATTAAAAAGTACGATTTGATTGACAGATCAAATCAAGCTTAAGTTTAAAAATAGATCTTTGCAGAATTTTCAAACATGGCAATTCACAAGTTTATCATTTCGCAAACAACAGCGTAATGGCTTAAATGGAACCGCTAAAAGTTTGAACTGTTTCCTTACCTGAGAAGAAAACAAGTTTATAGCCAAAAGGGTTTGTTGTGTCGTTCTTCGCATGAAGTGCTGACAAAAATGGCGGCTCGGTTGCTCGAGGTAAGACGTCGTCTTCCTGTATCATTCTTTTTCCTGTTTACTTGAAACGTAGAATTTATTTACATTTCCTTTTAAATTTGTTTGTCATAAATAAACTTTGATTTTTGAGCCAAAATTTTCTTGTTTAAAAACGCTAGCTGAGTTCACGAAACGGCTTCTTCTACGCGAATACACGGGAGTTGTAAACAATCCATCGAGCACAAAACTCAGCTACAGTAAATTGAAACACGCGGTATTGAATGCTTCCAAGTCTTTTCTTGCCTAAAAAAAAGTCAGCCCTAGGATTTTGTCGACTTTTAACAGATCGTTCTCTAAAAAAAAAGGGAAAAACACCGAGCTCACACATTATCCATTCTCTAGGAGGTGAATATTGTTGAATAGTCCGAGATAGCGAACCAATCAGATTGCTTAAATCACCAATTGCAAGATAACTAAGTGTGTATATACTAACAATATATATTGAGTTATTCGACAAAAATACCTTCTATTGTATTTATATTGCTTCTTTGGTTTATTTTGGTTAATACCATAGCTACAATAGAATATTCCCCTAATCAAATTCAATAGCGCGAGCATGCTTCATACTCCCATTAAGCACGCTAATGACGTCAATAAACTATACCTCGAGTTCTTGTGAGCTTAGCAATCGTTCCAAGACGTCTCCCAAGTGTATCCATAACTCAACAGTACACGATGAAGCGTTAGCCATGTGTTTTATAACGTAAATGTAACAGAAACCTTTTGAATTTGTTAACTGATAGTAGGGGAAAGAGGTGAGTGTTGTTGTTGTTGTCATCTGCGCGAGCTGTGCAGGCTATGGCGTGTGCAAATCACTCTTTGCAAAGTCATTTCTTTCCAAAAGAATTTTTCGATGAATTAATAGTTTTCCGGCACCTTAATATGGATTTTACAATCTTTTTGAATGCTATGTTAACCAACTAGAGTAAACTTTCTGTCAGGTTCCAGACAAAAACATAACTGCGAGGTAAAAAAATACAGTCACACAGACATAGACGCGTACTGCTTTGACCGCGGCTCTAATAATAAAAATTTGAAATACTGCTGCATTGATCGCTTTGATAATGTTATAAAACAATTAGTTCATGCTTCAGCTGTGCCTATGTCGAGACATTGAGCACTTGCAAAGTTTGGAGAGCACTCAAAAGGCTAGAGCTGCTCTCGGCTGCGCCTTGAGCAACTCTTACGCCTCTTTCTGTTCTCCAAACTTCCCGCGTGCTTAATATCTCGATATACGCACGCTGACGTATGAACTAATTGTTAATTATAAATATGCCAATAACCAGGCCAAAACCTTCGGTCAGCAACGGGCTGATATATGATAAGCTGATTTACGCGAGAAAAGATTGAGTACGACGTTGTAGCCACCGAAAATGCAAATCTGCTTGGTTTTCACGACGTTGGTAAATGTGCCACTCCCAATCTGTCAGCGAGGTCATTCTGAAAAGCAAAAAAATCTCACAGTCATTACTTTTCCACTTCAAATGATAGACATTATTTAAAATCTAAAGTTATTTCAACGACTTCAGACTATGAAGCACGTTACAGTAACAGATAGCATGACCTAAGAGGGATAAGGGGCTGGGACTGCATCTAAAACAATGTAGCAATTTGTCTTGCTTAGAAATATATCATTTTGCAAACAATGTTGCAGACCCTGGTACTGTAATTTATGCTACTCGTAACTGTACTACTGTAAGTATATTATAAAGTTCTAAGGAGAACAAGGTCAGGGGCACCCAACGACAGTTTTCTGTACAAGTAATCATTCGCAGAAGCAAATATTGCCGAGAATTTTCTATTTCTTGAGAACGGCTAAAAAATTTCTGGAGGACCGTTCCCTTCATGCTCAATTTTCGAAGCTTATCTAAAAAATTCCCTACGATTTTCTGAGGTTTAATTTTTCACATTTCACTGCTCAGGTTAGGCTATTTTTCGTACGAGAAAAGAAACCTAAAATTTTCGAATTTAAAAATGTGATGGAGAGAGGAATCAGAAAAATTCTCACTTTTGCAATACGTTAAATTGCATCTAAAATTTTCGGGAAAATAATACTGAAGCCCTTGTAATTTCGAAAAGACTCAAGTTTCCCTAGGATGACCGAACAGATACACTTTTTCACTCAGAATACATTTCTAGAGATTTAAAAGTACTCTGGATAGCCAAAAAAGTGTTTTCTATGTATTTAGGAGGAGACCGTCGTTGGGTGCCCCCGCAAGATGTCACCGTCATTTGGTTCCCCTACTGCTGTACTGCGTCACCTATACATGTATTCCAGCACTTTCTCCATGTCACGTAGTCTCGTACGCAACCTCCTTTAGTGACATCACGCAACGCTTACCTTGTCCCCAGGAGCCAAAGATTCAAGACTGGAGAAAAACGGCCCTGAATGGGACGTATCCTACCAATAACTTTTCGTTATCAGAAGACTGCACTGCTTAGCACGTACAAGCCAATTAATTGGGCCAGTATGAAATGTCACTGAGCCAGGATCCCAAGCGGTCATATTGAGATGAGGATGAGAGAGCAATAAACGTCATCCAAACAAAAACAATTGACAGTCGACCAAATGTGCGTCCGCTAACCTGTGAGACTGTATCACTAGCTAAAGTACACTATCTAGTGAGTAAGCATTTTTGTTAAACAGTTATCCGCTGATCAGATTATTACTTTTTCATCAGATCTCTCGCTCACGCTTAGTTATTTTATTTCTGTCAGGGGTATTTATTTATTTGGGTTAAAATATCTCAAAGTTCATTGCTTCAACTAAATTTTATTATTTAGTATTGAAGGAGCTCCGCTTTTAAGCTTTAAGCCACGTCCGTATAATAGGTCAGAATTTTTGTTTGAGCAACACGTAACGCCATTCCATAAGACTGGATACCAAGCAATTTTATGGAAATATCCTTTTCTTTGAAAAAATTCTCAACCAATTTTTGTTTTTCCTCCTGCTTTTGATATACCGTAAAATTCCAAAAACTAAGCCCCGGGGCTTATATTTTTCAAATGCCCTTTTTGAGGGGCTTATTTTTGGAGGGGCTTACCTATGGAGAGAAATTTGCATTTCAAAAGCGATAGAGCTAGCCTTATAGTTGGAAGTAAATTCACCGTTTTTGCTTTGTTTTACTTTGTGTTTGAGGGCAATTCTCCAAGTACAAGCCCCCGGGGGGCTTATATTTGGAGGGGCGATTTAACGGAGGGTTTTTTGCGTTACCGGTTTGGGGGGAGGGCGGCTTATACATGGACGGGCTTATTTTCGGAATTTTACGGTAACCTTGTATATCTCAGTCTCAATTTCTATATAAACACTCACCAAAGCATGTAATATGTTCACGTGATAACAAATCCCACCATCTTGCTTTACTTTGCGCATGTGTTCTCTTTCCGGATCGCCTGCTACAAGCACTGCTGGCTCGCCCTCTGCCTAAAAAATTCCCATCACGCTGGATTACTGAGCTAATAAAGAGTACCTTGACATGCTGGATTTTAACTTTTGAGTTAAACTTGGCCCAAAAATAGAATACTCTGCTTTAGCTGTCCTCGTACTCTGTCTTGGCCGTTTTGCACAGCACCATTTAAACTTATTATTGTCCTATACTTTAGAAAATGTGGTGAATGCTACGCGCGCTGCAATTGGCTGTTGCCCATGATCTTTCACAGTACCGGAACAGAAACATAGACTGTGACTTCACGCTAAACTTGTTTTCTTTGCCTTGTCCAACATGACGCGCAGTTTTGAAAATGTTTGTGAGATAATTAAGTAAGTGAAGACCTCAAAAGGTGAGCAGGGGTTATTTACAAGTAGGAAAAATGTCCACAGAGAGCTATGAACGACTTGGAAATGGCTGAACTTGAAGAAATCTTAAAGCAGTTGCCACCATGTGTCAAAACACGCTACCAGACACAGGCAGCTTTGAAAATGTTTGCGCGATTATTCTGCTTTGAAGAAGTGATGGCCTTGAAAAACGTTTTGAGTGCCACTTTTTTTTCTTACTACATTTTGATATTTTTCGTTAAATGTATTTACTGTCTTTGTTACAAATTGCAGAACATACGGGCTCCATATTTCTGTATTGATCCATCAGACACTGCATCCTGTCCTCAAAACCGTCAGCAAACATTTGCGGATTCAGAGCCACAAAGCAATGACCCTAGTGAAATAAAAACGCAAAGCCGGATACTTTCACGAAGAAACGTGGAACAATATGAAAAGAATTATGAGTTTGATATTAGCCAGAGAAAACAGCCGACATTTCGTGGCGCCCGCCAGAACTGGTTTCCCGCAAAGTGACGTCTGATAAACGAGCTCAAAAATTCCATACTGATGATCGATGCGTCGCTACCTAGACTTGTTTAAAAGCGCTTCTAATTGGTTAAGTAAAATTTCTCTCGCAACATGAGCAACCAGAAGCACTTCCGAGATCCGGGTAGTGTCGAATTTCTGCGCTCGTTTCTCAAAGGTCATTTTTTCAGTCTAGCTGGAGGATATAAATCACGCTAATATACACGTATAAAGAAGGCAGCCCTTGTATGGTGTAAGGTACCAGACATTTGGACACTTCACGAACTGAATTTACCGTTTGTTTTCTTAACGTTTTAGGGGGACATTGTAATAAAATCCCACCGGGCGCCCCCCACTACCAAACGCTAACCGTTAGGATAAGTCAAGAGGTAAGTCCAGAGACCGAAAGAAGCAGAAACTCAGGTACAGAAGTAAGCCATCGCTGCGGGGAGAAGGATGAGGCGACGACCTGTGTCTGGTATCCAAAAAAGATAAACCCATGTATACTAAACTCGTCAATACACTCATAAATATTATGCAAAACCAGTTCTCCTGTGGATCAACAGGTGCCCGGGGACTTAATACATAGATACCATAGGAATTGAGATAATTTCCTCTAGTACCAGGTCAGCTTGTCCCATTTCTTCTCCCTGCCACTTCCTGAGATGAGCTCCAAATGCTGAGCCAGACAAGATTCCACAAAAAACCTCCACCATCATCGCTAAACCAAAGCCTTTATAGCCGCCTATTAAAAGAGTAGATATAAAAAAAGACGAATTAATGATAAAAATTAATAAAATGCAGAACTAAAGTTCAGGGGAAGAAATTAACTTAAAGCGGGTTACCAAAAAAGAATCAACCCAACTACCTCATTTACAAGAGTAGATAAAGAAACAATTTTATGTTTTCTTTTATGTAATTAGCTCCCCCCCCCCCCGGCCTTGTTAAAATGGTCATAATATATTTATTCACTCAATGATCCTTTTTCTACTTCCTGCCAACAGCCCCCCACCCCAATCTCCTTGTTCAGCGGTTTGGTTTTAGTTGACAATCAAGGTAAACAAAGGCTGCTTCGTTCCTCATGTCTATATAGTGTCAGTCTTACTTTACAAAAACCACTTTTACTATTGTCCTTGTTCTATATTGTTTCACCTGAATACCAACTTATATTCAACTGAATACCAAACTTATCTATATTCTTCTAAAGTATGACATTTTATGTAGAAATTAAATCACGGAAAATGATAAGTTAATAGTTTTTTCAGACCTGTAATCTCTTTACCACCTAGAGGTAGAAGGCCACCTCCTTCATCTAAAACTTCTCGAGGGCTAGCAGTTTCCTAGGATAAAATAACAATTCTTCAGCCAGATAGAGCTAACAAGTCAGTCAATTTTCATGCTTTATACTTGTATAGTCAGCTTGCCGCTATCTGGACAATTTTCCCGCCTTTTCTCGAAATATATCAGTCCATCAATGAATCACTCGTCGCTTTCCTGGAAACTCACATTCGGGTGTAAAAAAGAAGCGTCCGTTGTTTAAGAAAGAAGTATATTTCAAAGAAACAAATTGTGCTCTTTAACTTTACTTGCTTTTTTCAGATAATTCTCTTTTTATTATATATATATTTTTTACCCTCGACTTTTTCATGTACGCACGTGCGTACCGTGCGTAGCTACGCCCCTGTTTTTTGACCGATCCGCGATAGATTTATTATATTATCTGGAAAACTATTGAAACCATGTTTGAGCTTTGGAGATCCGGTAGTTACCGTCAGACTCTCGAGCCTCTGCCGGGTAGGGGTCACGGGCCGGGTGTAATTTCCTAGGCAGATCGGACGAATACTTTAGAAGAGTCTCAAAACAAACTTAGAGAGAAAGACATGCCTTTGCTGTGTAAATAGTAAGATGCTCGCGTGGCTCGGATGATCACGTAGAAATGGCGGTCTCATCTTCAGTAGTAAACGTAAAAAATACAGTCTTCCCTTAGGCTTCTGTGTGTGCTTAGTACATTTACTGCGCTGTTTAAATATTTTTGTTGTTACAATTTTATAATGTCTCCACTTAGAGTATAAATAAAAGGGGAGAGGGGTACTCCCTATAATGTACAAGGAGTCTCCGCAGAAAGGGGTACTTTTCAAGTTTCAGGTATATGAAACGGGAAGGGGTAAAATGGGAACTAGGATTTGCCTTTTTATGTTCTGGGACAATGGGATTGACGGCACTGGGGCTGGGATTTAACCACTGGAAAGGAAAAGGGTAAACAATTTCTACAATCGGAATGGCATTTCTCTCCTTTCACGATCTTTGACTAAGTTGTTAGACACAATTGCTCAACTGTGCCTATTTTCGTTCTTAAAAGAAATAAAATTCTGCACCAGTGACCTCAGTTAACACATATGACCATGTCACTCTTGTATTTCCTTCGCTTCCCTTGCCACGTCGCAACTCCGTTAGCTGGTCGGGTCAATTCATCGGTTTGTTGTCGTGGGAATGACATGTGCACGTTTACGCGTGACAGAGTTCAAATGGCGTGGAATTGAAACTATTTGAAGATTCCCCCACAAAAAAGGGGATTTGCCAATCATGTGGTAAAAAATGTTTTTGTGGACTATGTTGAACCAGGTAACCTCAGAAAGCGCCGTTCGTATTGCGGACTATTGAGACCAGATGGAAAAGCGCAGGTTTAGTGAATCACTTCCTATTCACCTCCTTTGTTCTTCCGAGTGATCTAGCGAGTGTCATGTTTTCAAAAAGGAAAAATGAACAACGTCTTTAGTCAGAGTTCATCACGTTCAAGCTAGGCTCCACTAGTTGTGACACTCCTACCTAGATGGGCAACGCAGCCCCCAACAACATGGGTAAAACAACCAAAAAGCTGTGAACAAAGACCGTTAGAAAGAAAAGTTGGGACTAGTTGTATGCCTCAAACTGATGAGAAACTCAAGGTGTTTCTCGAAGAAACAGACGATGTGAGATTGGCAGACGATGGTAAAAGCATGAGAATATTGCTTTGTGGTAAAACACCCACAATGGACAAGAGTAATAAGAAGTCAATCAGTGCCCGCCTAAAGTTTTTCAGGTGTGGGCATGTGTGCTCTGTACGGGTTGGTACAGAAGCTGTACATACAAAGAAACAGAGAATTGACGAGTTTTATCACTGAAAGGGACTGTCCAGTGGTGAAAGTGAAGATGACAGAAATGGTTTTAATATGGTTATGCCTACAAGAGTTGGAAGAGAAAAAGTGTTCACCAGCAGAATGAGATATTTTCTTCAGTCCAGGTGAAGGTACATGATACAAACGGCATCAACCAGGGCTTTTACTTCATTATGCGCATCAGATCGCAGACGAGTACTGGAAATGAGATGTCACGTTTGGTAACTGGGATTTCCAAATTTTGACTGATCTGCACCAAAGTTAGGCTGCGAACTGGAATTTGGTACAAAATCCCCCCTCCCCTCCCGCCCGCTTCAGGACCCTCGGTAAGGATTTCACAAGTTGAAATATATGAAAGGGTAAGGAAATCTGTCATTGCCGTCTGTGAACGGACCTAAAAGGGCTAACAGGTACATTTTTATGGCTGTGAAAGATAGAGGAAATCTTCCCAGCTTAGTGTTTCATTCATAATTAAAAGACGGTGCATTTACAGCAGTTAAAAGGGACGCGGCTCTCTAAACTAGCATGTGAAAGGGGTACCATTTGTCAATAACAGGTATACAAAAGGGGTACCTTTTCTGTCGAAAATGATATAAAAGGGAACTGGGTAGGAACTCGGGGTTGAGCCTCCGGGTATAAAATTTTGTTGAGTACCCCTCCCAGGGTAGGGGGGTAAAATAACAGTTGATTTCATGTGCACAACTTGTGCACAAAAACGAACGTCTTTACACGGGAACTCTTACCTGCCCTTTGGAGTTGACACCCCATCCTAAGGGAATATCAGTTCCCTTCCTCTTACATACTTCTACCTGCAGAGAGAGTGTAGTTAGCGATGCTAAACTTAAGGTCAAATGTGTGAAGAACACCTGATAAGTTATCATCAATAGGCAATAGCAGTAGCTTAAAGCAATTCGAGACATCATAAAGAAGTACTCCTATATATTGCCTCTTGCTTGCTTGAAACAATCCTTGGAAGTCCACAGGTCACTTGTGCTACACCCCGTATTCTAGCATTAAATTGGATTAATCATGTTGCCAAGTAAGATATGGCGAATAACTAAAACTTACACAACGTTACCAGTAACGCCTAATAGATGAGGAGTGATTATTTCTTGCGTGCAGATTTAAGGAAATTAATTAGATTGTTGTAAAATTTAGAATATTAATTAGAGGACCTCCTCGTTGCCTGGGGGGGATTAATTCAAACAGGTTGCCCTCAAAAGGTTTCATGTCCATAAAACATCCCTTCTATGCCACATTTATTTTCCCTTGACCGCCAGTTTATCTCTGTATGAGCAGCTACTATATTTTACTAGTGCTTAAAACTCGTTTCTATAATTAAAAACCTATAATGTAAAAGTAACCGCGGCAATGTTAGCTCAGTCGGTAGAGCGCTTGACTGCAGAGCGGGAGGTCGCGGGTTCGATTCCCGGGGCCGGACCAATACTCAGGGTCTTAAAATAACTGAGAAATGAAGGTACTCCCTTTGTACTGCAACAGGGTAGACCTTCGCGCGGATGACCTTGTAAAATGGCGGTCCCGTCTCCAGGTGGAGACGTAAAATATAGTGTCCCCAATTAGTACTTTCGTGCTAAATACATTGACACACAAATAAAGTATGTTTTTGTTTGTTTTGTTTTGTTTTACCTCAGTGCACTGAAGCTAAGGGGAGTCACATGACAAACCTTTCCTTGCGCGACTGCTGACGTAGCCATGTCCAATTGAAAACTGTCCCCTCCTCTCCCTGGAGCGGACACAGAGATAGGATTTGTTCCAATGGTTGGCTGTAAAGTGTCAAATAAGAAACGCTGGTAAATCAACCAAACTAGGGCAACCTTACTTTGTGCCCGGACGCATCTTTGATCATGTTCAATGGACTGGAAAATCGTCACTGCGGTGATGCGTTCGTAAAGGAGAGGGTATTAAGACCAGTGGTTCAGGGAGAAGAAAGAGGAGCTCCCAAGATGACGGCGAGAAACTTCAAGGAAATAAAAGCACTAAATGATTTATTACGTATTGTGTAAATTTGTGGTCAATAATTTCTGGTTTCACAACTGAAGGCGCAAATTAAAAATGTTGCAAAAGCTTGTACACCTTTAAAAAGAGTGTTCGTCCTGGCCCTTGGGCTTCCCTATTTTTTTAGTGTAAAATACAAATGTAAGAAAAAGAACCATCAAAAATTCAATTTTGAACGCGAGCAAGAGATTCGCGGGTAGATGCAAGTTTTTGCGCAGTAGTTCAGTTTCTCGGGAAAATTCAAGTAGTTGCTTTTTTGGTTGATATCTATGGACTCGTTCCCATTTTTAACTTGATTTCGTAGGGGCAAATTTATTTCTTATTATTTTTGACAGGACTATCTCAGTCGGTGGGGCGCCGATATCTGTGAAGAGGGAGGTCGTGCGTCCCATTCTAGGGAGAAATATTCGGCCTCTGTGGATAACACCCTCCTCGATCTGCTTAATTCTTCATATCCTACACAGCCTCATTCATTAATTGCTAATTAAACACTTTGGTTAATATTGGCTAACCTCAGTGCAGACACACATTCGTGGCAAGTAGGAAATCAAGTTCTTTTAGCGAGAACAGACCTTGAAATTTATGTATTATACCTAAGAACGAGTCAAAGCAAAATTGGCCAAATTTAGCACGCGGGAGTAGTTTCAAGCAATGTGAATAACGTATTTAATGAAAAAATACATTACCTTCAACGCTCTGGTTGGTACAACTGCAGGCGACGCGTTTGTCATACTCATACCCTGAAAAATGCAGGTTGAACTGTTTAAAATCCTATCACACATACTAAATACTAAATAAAACGGAAGTTTCATTAACTTACAATCATTCCATGATCAAGGGCTTTGCTACTGTACCATCCTGCTATGCCAAAGTGGGTTGAACCTGAACGAAAAAGGAGAAACGTATAACTAGTGTGTAAAAAATATATATATATCAACTCTTGTTTAATTTTAAAAATTAATCGGTCTTTAAAAAGGCTACAGCTGACATAAAATACTCGTGATTCTAACGATCACGATCCTAACTACCATAAACTTTAAAATTTGGGTAGTAATTGTCTTGTTACCGTAAAAGAGCTAAGGGAAGGATCCCATCAATGCAACTCTCTTCCAATCGTCAAGGTTTTCCTCAGATTTTTTGGAACATTTTAAAGCCAGACCCTTTCTTTTCAATAGCTGTTTATCTATTCCTCAGATTGCCTAGTCCCTAGGCCTCATTTTCCTCGCGGCCAAAGCGTCTCGGGTCACGTGGTCCATGCAAAAATGTGAGGCGTTTCCCGCCCGTTCGTCTCGGATACGTCACCGAAACGAATTGACCGAGAGGGACTGGGAAAACGCCGTACAGGGACTAGGCAATTCCTCAGACACAATTCAGTGGCAGATGCAGACCTTCAGATAAGGGGGGAGGGTCCGGTCATCCAGAGCCTAAGATAAGGGGGGGAGGCGGTCTCAAAAAAATGTTTTTTGGGCCCTTCGGAAATAGCTTGGTCTAAAATTAAGGGGGACCGGGCGTTCCGGGCCCCTTCCCTGGATCCGCCACTGCACTTTGCGAATTTTAGTAAATGTTGGTTGCTACGGATAGAAGATTTAACATCATAAGTTTTATGGCGTCGAGAAATTCCGAAGCAGAAAGTGTGATAGTCTGATCCTGGGACCAGGATCCGTATTGGGGAAAAAAGGCAAAAAACAGGGTAAAATAGGAAAAATAAAGGCGAGCGAAGCGAGCCGAGCGGTTGCTGTGTCTCTTTTTTCCCCGGAGCCTGGTCCCAGGCTAGTGATATGTTTTTGGCATTGGTTGTGTAAAAGAACGTATAAATCATAAACAAAGGCAGCAAAATGTTGAATTATAACTATCTTTTACACCTATTACAAGAAGGTGGTTAGTTTTAGACATAGTGCAATTTATTTCACCGTAACCAGCGGTTAACGGTCATGAAGAGTGTCAGGGATTTTCTTAGTTTCCAGACTCATGTTCTAAGCTATTTCTCCGTGCTTACCCAGAAGATCCCAGCGTTCTGAGAGGGAAATTCCTAATTTTGATTGTTTTGATATCTTTCCTGGCAAGGTGTAGCGACAAAAAATACATTACCTACAATGTCAACTAACCTTTACAAACTACCCATCCAACGCCGTGTTCCTTTGCTTTCTTAATCGCCAAATCCATACAAAAATTACCTACAACCTATATCAAAGCAGTTGTAAAACAAGTTGGAATCAACTGTTGGAAAAACTCTAGACTGCAAAACAGTTGGGCTTTTTTCTCAAAATCAGTTTAGTGTAGCGTAAGAGTGGCGTAAGAGACTCACGCGCGCTAGGCCTGTAGGGCTCCCCAGTCTCGCTCTCCAGGGAAAAGCGCCCTGGGGACGAGGTTGCGTTTTCAGCCTCGGTCCAGACCTTTTGTTTGACTGTGAGTACTTGAATAAGCAAAAATACGGACTGTTTTTTTTTTTGCCGTCTAGAAAAACTCTAAAGGCATCTAACGAAGATCGCCGCTGCCATTTCGTTCACTATATTTAATAGTTAAATGTAGGGGCACGAACTTGATATAACCGCGCAAGCCCCATTTCAAAACTTTTTCATTATGTTTAACAAGTTCATTGGCACTTAGTTTCCAGGGGGGATTTGTTGTGGACCCCACTGAACTTGAATTGAATTGCTAATTCCTAGATCCTTTTACCAAGGTTTCCAATTTACAACAGAATTTACTTCAAGCTTATTTCAGTGGGGAGTTACTCTTGCAATGCATGGGTCTCGCTGGTATTCATTTACACACCTAGTTCAGTTACACTTGCTTTTGAAAAAGGTAGATGACGCTTGTAGCTTGATAAAAATTGTTAACCAATTACCCAGTGGTTCAAAAGGTAGATAGTGCAGCTATCCACTGAGTAAATCTCTATTCAGAGGATAACACAACCGTTATCCCTAACACTTATCCGCTGGGTAGTGATTTCCAGTGGATTGCGCGAACACGTTTGAACGGCATCTGGAGTTTGGTGGGCAAGCTTTACCACAATCGATTACATTATCCCTTACAGAAAACGGTGTAAATTATTATCCATTTGGGAAGCAGTACCACCAGCAATGATGTTATTTACCGCACTTACACATGTATCCAGCAGGGAGGCGCTAGGGAAACGAATTGTATTTATCTTCTACAGAAATAATAAGATGCATCTATTGAGAAGATGTCGCTATTCTGCCTTTTTAAAACAACGATAGAAAGATCGAAACAAATGTAAGACTGTGAAACAAATCTAGGAACGAGGCCGAGCGGTTAGAGCGCTGGACTTGCAATGCCCCGACTTCAGGTCCCGCCCTCGACGCAAAATGGATTTGTTCACGATAGTCCCGAGTTCAAATCCTCGGCCATGCTTGTAAAATAGCCAACTGGTTCGCCTCCTACCAGTTGGGATTCTTAACCATGTTATGTTTCATTTGAATTATTTGCTTCATTATCCCTGAAAAACCCCATAAGGGGAGAAGATAATTAATTATTTATATTTATATTAATTTAATTTCATATTTACATCAAAACAACACAACATTAACTACAGCAGCTAGGGTAAGAATGGGCCTTTCGGGGATAAAGATCAGAGTAATGAAATAATTTTCTCACCGGTCCTAGCAAGTTGTTACCGTTTACCAAGGCAGTTGGTCCAGTTTCTCTTTCAATTGTAGGCTCACCCTGTTGTTGCATGTTCCCATTTTGAATGTCACGAACGTAAAACTCTAAAAATGAAAAATGCATAGACAGTAACTACATATTACTTGTTTTTCCAACTACACTCTGACTTAGAGCAATGTAATGGTCCTCCTTCACAACGTTATCCGGCAGCTCTTTCTATTCAGCTTCCTAGAAATTTAGTCATTTCCAATACTTCTACATTCTCTAGAGGGAGACTGCTTGCCAGTCTAATTGCCATTATCATCCATCAGGAGTCCATAAGCTCGAGCCAGCAGCTCCCTTGTTCCCATACGACGGTGTTTTCACAGACGAGTTTATTTTTAGATCGATTTTCGCGCGCATTTTGAATATCAAGTAAGACTTACAAATCGGTCTTCACCGGAGACCAGAAATAAAGTATTTCTGATTTTTTGATAGCCTTTACCTTTTTTGTTGGTAATTATTCGCATTATGGATGCGCACGCATACGGAACGGTCCTTCCATAATCGCTGAAAAAGTGCTTCAAAATTATGCTAAAAATAACCTGATCTAAGAAAACGCCGTTGCATAGGCTTAGGGCACTTTCTATTTGTCAGAACTGACCGGCCAGACCCTTACCCGCGGTAATGATAATTTAAGAATTTGTTCATGCTTAGCGTGCGTATATCGAGTTATGGATGCACTTGGGAAGTTTGGAGAGCACGAAAGATGCGTAAGAGTTGCACGAGGCGATAGCCGAGTGCAACTCTAGCTTCTTGAGTGCTCTCCAAACTTCCCAAGTGCATCCATAACTCGATATACGTACAGCTAAAAGCATGAGCAAATTCTTTTATAACATAGCTGACAAAAATGCTTGCTTTTTGATTAACTGCAAAATTCTCGTAACGTGCGACACAATAACAAACGGTTCTCGGCTGATTATGAACACGCCACAATCGTCTAGTTTGAATGAAAATATTCCTTCTGTAAAAGTGAGAAAGAAAATTTGCTTCTTTATTCGTTAACGATCAATGGAAACTAAGCCGAAACAAAGGTAAAAGAGTCTTAAAGTTCACGTAAAGTTAAAATCCTCCGTGACATGTTCGTGAGAAGTCAGTCGTGGAGTATGGTTTGGATTTGCTGAAAAGATGTTTATGTTTTGCTCGGAGAATCCAGAAAAGATGTTTTTAGCGAAGACGACTTCATTTGAGAACATTGGCTGGTCATTACGGCTTCTTGAGAAGACCTGGCAGCAGTTGTTTTTGTGAGTAATAAATTTATGTCCCATTGTGTAATTTGTGTTGTTATTGCGAGAGAAATTTTCCTGCTTCAGTCAGTTTCCCCGGAGATAACAAAGTGAATAACAAATTTAAAAACAACAATAAAACGGAAATTTTGCCTTTAAATGTTGTTGATGACCAGTTGGTGTCTGTTCTGTTCCCAGTGAATGTCTTTCGGCCAAAATTTGCTGCAGCTGGTCTTCGACAAATTTGCGAAACGCGCAACTTGCGAGTTTTTGTTAATTCGGCTTTATTTTTGCTGCTTGTTGGATCAGGACCTAAAAGGTCAATGCCGATAGAAAAATTGGCAGTTCTTCGCTCGTTTATTCCATATTTTAAAGAGAAGGAAAGTGCACTGCAGCTTAAAAGACGACAACTTTGCAGCCAGGTAAAAAAATGCTTACGTCATGTTATTTACGCACGGGCGTGCGTAAATAAAGATTTTGTTCATAGCTGCTCAATAGGACTTATATAGGGCAAGCACGCGCGCTATGTTATAATTCACTTTTAATGAAAATTACCCAGTCAATTCAGTCAAATCCTAAATAGTAGGCACGAAGGAAATGGCATTTCATAAAAAAACACTCTTGGAAAAAGCCTATTTCATTGTAAAAATGACTGGTCCAGCCATGGTCCAGCCGATCAGCTTTGAACAACCCAGCCAACATCAGTAGTATGACTAGTATGTATGATTTCAGCTCTGATCACACTGATGCGGTCTAAAATCTGTCTATGCTTGGCAATATAAGCTTACCTAATCTGTGCAGTCCATGAGTGAAATGTCCCCTAACATCAGCCGCACACAGCACTTGAGCTAGAGCTTTACAGTGATGTTGATCAGTTCCTACTGCCCTCATACACCGCCCTACAAATGATTCAACATCTGCGACGGGAACACACTTGTGTTCTGAGACACTACGCATTATGACGGACTGAAGAGACAATAAGTCATGTATGAGAGCCTCGGAGTTTTCACAAACCTCAGTTTATGCAATTTCTAAAACATTTTTTTCTCATTTTTCAGTTTAGACCAGTCCTACAGTAAAGGGTCAGTTTCTTTCAAAGGTTTTGATAGATTTCCTTTACTACTATTTTCATCATATTGTCAAATTAGTCGTTTGGACGACCGTTTTATAAAATATTCCCTAAATATTTAGCCTTAATTCGTCAATAGACATGTGACATGGACATGTGGTTTTTGTGATGTTTATCATATAAAAGGAGCCTCTCATTATTTATTTATCAATTCTGTTAGCGACTATTTCATTGATTTCCGTTAATCTATTAAAACATGTGGAGATTATAAGAGAAAGTTGTAGGGACTTTCCTGGAGCGATAAGCCAATGTCCTTTAATACTCGAGTGAATTCTCGTTTTCACTGACGCCAGAGTGTGCAACTTCAGTGAAGGCATTAAAAAAACTACCAAGCATCACCTGTCAGATGTCGATAAATTCTTCGCTATTAACAAGAAAAAAGAAGGAAAAAAAAACATTTATTTTCCCTTTTTTCCGATACTGCGAGCAACTAAAGAACCAGTCAGCATTTAAATCCAATTTTGAGGTTTAGTACGACAGCAGTCAGTGTCAGGAGGCGTTTTTTCCACATAGTTTATACCAGCTGAGCACTCCAAGACATAAACTAATAACTGTGAAAGCTGTAACACATGTTGTTGTTCTAATAATCCTCGGACGTGCTCATTATTCAATAAGGCTTTAATTACTTGTAGCGAAAACCACTATAACTTGAGCACAGCCGATCAAACTCCTGAAATTATTTATAAGGAGCTCGTCAGAGTTATCGGGAAGCCGTGACGGCTTTTCTGCTGTTCTCTGAAATTTTCTGCCTTCTATGTTCCTATAGCCTAATGACTATTTTTTAACAATGTTTTCTTGTTTCAATTTAAAATAATACAGGTATAACATATGATCTCAATTGCATTTCCTTTTATCTAAATTAACGTCGTGCATATTAATTTTTTCGCCAGCTGCTTGTACGAAGCCGCGACTTAGCTTTTAGTACTCAAAAGCAAAGCCACCATGGTCTAAGCCTGCGCAGCAGGCGTTTCCAGTCGAGTTTTCTTGCTAAAGTTGGAGCGAGAATATAAAAAAAAATTAAAATCGCTGTCGACCAAACTTTCTCGACGATCTCGGGAGGAAACCTTTGCTTGGCAGGCTACTTTGGTCTCTGTGAACATTTTACTTAGTTGTTATAATACAATATTGGTATAAACTTCATTTTTCAATTTAAATTTTTTCAATATATAAAACGTGCCAAAAATAAGGAATACTTTGAAAATCTAAAACTCTAACTTTTGCCCGACTTTCTCCTCAATCATGAAATCCTTTGATAAGATTCACTTTTTAGTAAAACATCCCAATACGCGCGGATTGTTGATAGCGACTAAAATAAAATTCGGAATTTTTTCCCGCGTCTTTAACTGTCGACCATCGCTGGGATTCTAATGGCCTTTTTAGCTCGGGAAGAAAACGTTAACTCGAATCCAAACTCTGGAATAACAAATAAGAACTCTGGCGAAAAAAGTCGTAGCGAAGGTCTTTTTTTCATTCTGCCTTTGCTAGATCGTAAGACATAATATATGCATCGATCGAGAGAGAGTATACACAAACTAAATCACTTTCTGAATATTATAATTCTTACAGCAAGTGTAAAGCTAAATATTTGAAGACCTCTAAGGAGATCTTTTCATATAGACCCCTGAAGATCAGCTTCATATGCTAACGACTTTGATTTATCGAATTACTTACCTCTAAAATTCTTTCAACTGCATCTAACCAAAGCTGTGAGTAGCACGAGTTTTACTGATAAAGTAATTTACCTCAACACTTCCTTATTTATTTATAAAGCTTAAGACAAACTGAAGGTAGCCTAAAAAAAAACTCATAGCTACAATCCTTTGTAGCTTCAAATCCAAAATGCCCATGCACGCTTATATGAGGTGATTCACAACGAATAGTGAAAAAATGAATAAAAAAATCAAATACAATCTAGAGAAGTTTTAATAGTCCAAGAGAAAACTTTCGTTTCTCTTAAGGGGATACTGGCAGGTGTTTAGAATGAGGACGAAAATTCCCTCGCTTGACAGACGCGACGCTTCGCACAAACAAAAAAATTTCAATTATGCCGCAGAACTTTCAGATAAGGAGTCTCTGATTGATTCTTTCTTTAACGCCGGCAATAAATGTACTGCAGTAGTTGAATTCAAGCCAGCCCTCACCCATTAAGGTCCCGTCCACGCGTATCCATTTTGCTTCGAAAACGCGGAGATTTTTTCTTCGGTTTGGCCTTCTGTCCACACGTATCCGGTGAAAACGGTCACCGAAAACGCCCCCCACCCCCTCCCCTTTTTTTCAAAATTGCTCTTCGGAGTGGAGATATTTGAAAACGCCAACTTTTCGTTTACGTGTGGACGGAGAAAAACGGAGGTTTTCGAATACGATGATGTCATACATCATATACTTCTAGCATGACGAATGCTCAATGATAGCCTCCCACGCAAACGTTCTTAGGGTTTCGTCACCCCTAAGAACGTTTGCGTGGGAGGCTAGCTCAATGAGAGATGCTATCGTATTTCCATCGTTTTAACGTTTTTGTGTGGACGGGCGGCGAAAACGATTCGAATACGCTACGTGTGGATGGGTTGGTGCTCGGGCTGACTTTTCAAAGTTTTACTTAATCTACCTTTCAACAACAAACTTTGAACTCTTTAAGGATGTGCTCCCCCTCTAGGTTGGTCTGTAAATGATAAAATTAAACCACAGGCAGCCCAAACTCTGTGGAAGTTCATTGGACTTTGAATTTAAAAGAGAATGTATGAAAATAGACAAAATACGTCCTAAATTCCATTTTTTGAGAAAAATAGAAACAAAAATGACTTACCTTGTGTTTGTGTTTTGTTATTTACTGTCTCTTCGCCTCTAGAGCCATTTGGAAGCCGTTTTATCGAGGTTTAAGATTTTGAGTTGTACTTTACCAAGTGCAACTCAAAACTTAATGTTGGTGCCGACCTTTTGTAAATAATGGTCTAAAGCTACACTTAGTCTCTCGGTTCGTGAATGAGCATTGCAGACAGTACATATTTTCTGCATAAAGCTTTGATATAAAGAAATCATAACAAAATGTAGTGTACTTAAGGACGCTATTTTGCCCTATACTACCCTAAAACTTAAAGTTTCGATCTGTCTCACCTCTACAAATTAATAAAACTGTATTGACTATAATAGACAAAGTTTTTCGACCAAAGTTTCTCCTAGGCTTAAAATGTATTGATGAATTTTCATGCTTATTAAATAAAAACACCTTTTTGGCGTTAGAACGTAATTTTTACTGCGCTTTTCCCAAATATGCGAACTCTAAAGTTCAAAAGCCGCCTTCACAATTGCGTTTTTCACTGCCGTCAATCATAATTACGATCACAAGCACCGAACCTTGAAACACAGAAACACACGAAACGGATCGAAATCCACCAATCACAAATCACAAACCATGACCTTTTGAACCCGTTGATGTAAAGTTTTGTTTCCCTAGAGGATAAGATGATTGACGGCAGCGAAAAACGCAATTGTTAGTTGGCTTTTGAACTTCAGAAATTCCCATGTTTGTGACAAGCGCAGTAATGCATCAAATTGCCAATTCACGATACATAACCGTGCATAGAGGCTCCATAATCGTTCTTTGTCATTTCGTGCATCGTGCTTATGTCCTTGAGGCACTATTTAAGCACGATAAGACATTTAAGCGCGAAGAGAAGAGAGGCACGATAACACCTTTAGAACAAAAAGTACTCGTAAATTCAACTCGTGAAGTTGAAAATGCTTCATTAACACAAAACTGACCTTCTTAAAACCTAAATATCCCAGTTTATTGTCAGGCTCGATAAAGGCACCATAAAGGCAAGCTCTATGCACGATCAATGGAATTCAGGCACGATGCACGTTGATCGGCTTCTTATGGACGATTATCGTGCAAGCACGATGCACGATGACAAAATTTGATCCATTTTGTTATGGCTGTGACCACTAACACCGTGCACTTAGCCTGAAATGGTGGCATTGTCGTTCTTGCAGCTAAAAAGGACGGATTATAGCGATTTAAGGGTTCTAGATTCGACGTTTACCTGAGCGTATAGGTTTACTATACGTGAGTCACGTATAGTAAACGTTTTCGAAATTTGAGCACGGTCTATTGTGGCTTAAACATTTCCGTAGAGCGCCTCTAGCAATCGGCTAGAGCTATCTCCATGACCTTTCACACACGTTTTCAAAAACATTGAAACTACTAAGAGATGACATTGCATTTCAAAAGCGCTTCGTTTTCGAAAATCAACATCATCCGGTTTTTACCTTATTTCTATCCATAAAAACTTCACTATAAAAAATTGCGATAAAACATTTCTTAAAATCATTTTAAGATTAAAAAAAAATTGCTAAAAAGCGACGACGTTTCGACATTAGCTGAACGTCATTATCAAGTCAAAATAAGTTAGTGATTTTTGGTCTATAAATACTAAAAAAACAACAATAGCTGATTAAAAATTGTAACGTGAGAAAATATTAAACAAAGAGTTTCGCACGTATGGAGTCCGTCTGAATATTTAAATTGGGCTTAAGTTTCTTGATGAAGAGCATTTCAAATACTAAACAATCAAATTTGCTCTGGCACTTTCTTAAAACCGTGAATTGGCTTTCTCTCAAAAGGTTGTT